TGCAGCCTTGACTACTTGTGCATCAATAAGTAACACAAATAAATTATTTTTCGTCGACTTATGATCTAATTTTTTTTGGTCCGGTGTGTTGGAATGACAATATACTACTTTCTGATTTTCTTAAGATATTAGATATTTCGTTAACTTTCTTATGGTTTCCAAAACAAGCGCGTATTTTGGGCAGCAGGAACGTTCAGTATAATTTGTGTTTGTACCAGTATTGATCATATTATTCGGGTGTAGCTTAATAACCGAAGCTATTCGATTAATCAGATAGTAAACGAGGTCTCCAGAGTTGAAAAAAAAATCGCATTTCTGTAAATACGAAGCTTTTAAATATCTAGATTTGAGGTTATTATTCGTAATGCAACTATATGAAGACTTCGTGAGCAAAAGTTACTACTGGATTCGTCACACAAATTGGAACAAATTTTTAAATGAATAACAGAATTTGTTGTTGTTAGTACGACTTTGTGTGTTCAGTATTATTGCCGAAAATTATATGTCTGCAATATATTATTTTACTTAATTAATTTTATTTTTTTCAACACATTTTCAAGAACTAAATAAAAAATTTGCATTTTAAATAACTTATATTAATAATTATGTTACATTAAAGAAACTATATTAATGAAAATTTGAAATATAATATAAAATATATAGTTTGCGTATATAAATATATTATTTGAATTATTATTATTTTATTATTAATAGAAATTTTGTGAAAGAAATCGCTTTGAAAAAAAGCTTTTCGAAGACTTTGCATTTACAAAAAATCCGATTTTTGTGTCAACAATCAGACTCTCCGAATATTTCGTATAACCGAATACGAACAGCACTAGTTTGTACGACGATATGATACGGTGCAGTAAAAAATAAATCTGTTCCACGAGATACTCGTAGTAAAACTCGACTAACGCAAGTAAAGTACAAACTAAGAGCGTAATACAAATAAAATACCAGAATACACTTTTTGCAGAGATTGTCATGGAGATTTTCATTAATAAATATTTGTGTAAAGTCTGGTGAGAACAGCTGTTTTTTGAAAAACAAAACATAAATAAAAGTTGAAAAAGTAAGAGGCAAATATATTTTCGAAAACGAAAGAAATAAGCGCAAATATATTTTTGAATATTATTAAAAATTAATTTATGTAAATTTAAATTTTATTTTAATGAAGTGAGTTAGAGTGCGTCAAAACTAAAGAGATATAAAGGGTTGTTTCTTGACGTTGGTGTCTCTCTCCTCTCTCTCTCTCTCTCTCTCTCTCTCTCTATAATTTATACTCATTCATTATATGATTTAGTCGTTAAGAAACTGCCAGCAGAAACTGACGTTAAGACGGAGTTTTGTGAAGTATTATTTTTTACATGATGCCAAAACCAGAGTCTGACGAGATGATAGTTTAAAAAAAAGTGATTAAGAAAAAGCGTTCGATTTCTAAAAATATACATGTGTACTTAATTACAAATTTTTGTAAAAAAGAAAAGACAGCTAGCAGAGTGTCATGTAGAACACAACTAACGAGAATACGTAACACAGTAGATGCATACTTGAAACAAGAAATACTGAAGGAGCCAGACGTGGTACTAAAGGAGTCAACTTTTAATGTTCATTTATGCCGCATAAGAAATTCGCATCAGAGATTGTTGAAAGCGAATGAAATCCTGCAAAGTGAAGTGGCGCAAGAGGATTGGGCACGGGAATTTGAAACAGCATTGGGGTATGACCATCGAGCAGTAGGTATAATTGCGAAAATTGAGTTTGAATTGAATTCCATTTTGGGAACTATTTAAACGAGCAATTCAAAACTTAACTATTAATTTGACGTACTGGTAGGCACAGCAGCGATAACGAGATTTTTGCCGATAGAACGCTGTTATAACGACGCCATAGAATTACTCTTAGAAGAATACGGTGATAGCGACAAAATTGTGGACAAATACATACAAAAGTTGCTAAACATAAGTGTCATCAACTCGGCAAGCGACGTAAAGAGTTTAAGAAATTTATACAACGAAGTAAGAGCAACGATGAGAACTCAGTCAGCATTATGTACTTCATCATCGCAGTACAACACCATGGTGCACCCAATCTTGTTAAAGGCATTGCCAGTGAGCATGAGAATAAATTTCTATTAAACTCAAAATGGGAGTTCGCACTCAACTAATGCAAGTCGCACAAGACTGAACGAAAGTGAGCGAGCAGTAGAGCAAAATTGCAAAAATTTAGAAGCTCTCTTGGAATATAGAAAAGTTGATATTAAAGCATTAGAAACAGTTCAAATAGTCGAGAGAGATAAAAAGAAATTCGAAGAGAAAAAATGTCGGAACAAAAACCAAGAGAGACAGCTGTTGGCTTGCATGCTAGTTGTGAAGCAAATCAAAGTAAATGTGTGTTTTGCAAAAATAGCACTCATGCTTCAAAAAATTGCAAAAAAAATTATGCCCGACGAACATAGAAAAAAGATTCTTAAAGACGAAGGTAGATGCTTTAGATGCACAAATAAAGATCACAATGCAAAATTCTGCAAAAACCAATGGTTGAAGTGTGCAACATATAATGGTAGACATTTAACAATAATGTGCGAGAAGAAACACTTAAAAGAGAACCGAAAAAATCAAGAGAGGGAGAGTTCTAATGAAACGAACATAAATAAGCAGATGAAATCATCGCTGAATGCTAAGAAAGCAAAGGATAATCAAATTCACTTGCAAACAGTAGAGGCAATTATTGTAAACAAAAACAGTAATAAACGGGAGTCAACGAACATATGTAACTGAGGAGCTTGTCAGCGTTTTAAATTTGCCTGTAATTGATTATGAAGAATTCAAAATTTCAGAATTTGATGAATTGGATGAAAATAAGTCTGTGAACCGTTTTAAGCAAGTGATTTTCCACATAAAGAGCCAGTATTGTGATAACGTCATTGAAATAAGTGCAACTGTCGTTCCACAATTTTTTCAGACTTTCTGCCTGTACCAAATGTGCAAGGTAAGGTAAAGGTAAATACAAATTTATCGAAAATAAACTCGCAGAAAAAATCATCGTATCTAAACAAATATTGTCAGGAATTAATTTGTTGATTGGGCAAGACAACTTTTAGATTTTTTGTACACATAAAGTAGAAAGAATAACAGATAGTTTGACAGCAATGAAGACAGATTTAAGTGACATGACTTCATACTACATGCCACATAGACCAGTATATCGTGAAGAAAAAAACAACTACGAAGATGCATATAGTTTTTGATGTATCATCAAGTGGCCTCACTTGATCAGGTGACAACTTACTGTCAAGCTTAGTGTCAATGTTAGTAAGGTTTCGTTTAAAGAGAATTGCCATGACACCAGATATTCAGATCGCATTTTTCAAATTGCTATAGACGAAAGCGATCGCAATACACATAGATTTTTATGATATGACAAAATGAACAACTACCTAATATTGTGGAAAAGTGAATGACGAGAGTAACATTTGGAGTTACCTCTAGCCCTTTTTGCTATCCGCAATTATTCGAAGACATTTAACGAGTTGCAAAGCAATATTTCCAGCAACAAGCTGGAAATATGTAAATGATCTTTTAATTAGTTGCCATTAAGTTGAAGAAGCCAAGAGATTTATTTTAAATCGAAGCAAATTATGAGCGATGCAAAATTTGATTTGAGGATGTGGAATTAACCTGCATAGACATAAGAAAATGTTGTACAAACGAAAGTAATCAAGCAGCAATTCAAAAAATATGCAGAATAAATTGTTATATTCTTGAAGATGACATTAGCTTTGATCTGGAGAAGACCATTGAAACCATTGCCATTTTTAAAACGAACAAAACGAAATGTGATGAAGGCTATGGCAAGAATATATGATCCCTTTGGAATAATAGCACCGTTCACAGTGCGACTCAAAATTTTACTTCAAAACATTTGGAAAGTAAAATAGAAATGGGACACGTCTTTAAATGACGAAAAGTGTTGCGAATTTGAAGCATGGCGAAACGAACTTAAAATATTAAGACATTTCAAAATTTCTCGTTCTTTATGTCACGCGGAGAAAAGTTTTATAGAGGCCCATATATTTGCTGCTGCAAGCCCAAAGGTATATGGCGTTGTGGCATATTTGATAACAGTGGCGAATGGGGTAGTTTCAAAACAAATTTATTTACTCAAGAAACAGAGTAAGCTTAATTACAAAAAGCGGTAATGATAAACTTTCGCTCCCAAAGTTAGAGCTCACGAAAGCTGTATTTGCTGCACGACTTAAAGAAATTTTATCAGAGTCTCTAGAATTACAAATTGGTAAATACTACTTATGGTCTGGTTCAACAATTACACTTAATTGGATTATGGGATGCGGAAATAAAAACATACTATCAGGTGCTGATTTCTGGAAACACTTCGGTCTGGTGGTAGATGAAAATAATAGATGCCTGAACGATACTCAAACGAAGCTAACTACCAATGTACATCAAAACACACGTACTACTAATCAGTTTTTTCGATCCAGAACAACCACAAATTCAAAGAGCTACTAAACTCATTCAAAGAATTAAAAATGGCTGTTTCATACCTGCAACGACGAGCCTGAGACTACAATTCGTCACCAAATCTTCACCAAATGTCAGCCTGATTTTTTGCTTGCGCGGCGACTATGTCCGCAAAAACTCCAAGCCGTCAAGAAGGAGTTCGACTACATGACGAAGCAGGGGATTTGTTCTGCTCAAAAAGTACTTTTGTTAAAAAGGATTTTTTTAACTACTCCTTAAGTAATAGACCTTCTCCAAAAAAAATGTTTTTTGTTTTTTGTTATGTTGGTACACTCTTTCTTGACATATGGTACAAATTTGAGTGCCATGTGTCAATTAGTTTGTTTACAGCATTGTTAATGTGAGACTACCTCAAGTGCATTTAGCGATTTTTGCTATGGAAAATTCAGTTGACAACGAGTTTGTTTGAAATTTTGTGTTTTGAAAGAAATTTCATGTGTTGAAGCTTTGATAATGGTGCAGAAAGCTTACGGGGACTCTACTATGTCTCGAACACAGGCATTCGAGTGGTATAAATCATTCAAAGAGGGTCGTGAAGTGATCGAAGATTTGCCTCGTTCTGGACGTCCATCAACATCAAATACCGAAGAAAATGTGGCAAAAATCAAGAAAATTGTGCTGGATGATCGTCGTATGACTGAAAGGGAGATTGCTCGTGACTTAAACATCTCAAATGGATCCGTTCACCACATTCTACATGATATATTGGGCATGAGAGGCGTTGTAGCTCAACTTGTACCGAAACACCTTAATTTTTTGCAAAAAGAATACCGAAAGAACGTGTGGAATGGAAACGACTCTACATTCATGGAACTCATCATAACAGGTGATAAGACTTGCGTTTATGAGTATGACGTCGAAACCCAGTCAACAATCGAGCGAATGGCTCTTCGAAAATGAGTCAAAACCCAAGAAACCGAGCAAAAGTCGCTCGAAAATTAAAATTATGCTCACTGTTTTTTTCGACTACCGCGGTGTTGTTGTTGTTCATTACGAATTTTTGCCAGAGCATTCTACCATCAATAAAAAATATTACCTCGGCGTTATGCGGCATTTGCGTGAGTCCATCCGTAAGAAAAGACTAGATTTATAGAAAGCCAACAATTGGATTCTTCATCACGACAATGCTCCATCACACACGGCTCTTGTTGCACGCGATTTTTTGATCAAACACGGCATCACTATCATCGCTTAGCCACCATATTCACCAGATCTGGATCCGTGCGACTTTTTCCTGTTCCTGAAACTCAAGTTGCCCTTTCGTGGTAAGCGTTTGGAGTCGATTCAATCAGTAAAAGAGAATTCGCTGAAGGAACTAAAAGCCATACCTTCACGGGCCTACGAAAAGTGTAAGATTGGGAAGATTGGATAAAGCGTTGGCATATGTGTATAGCTTCAGACGGAGCATATTTTGAAGGAGATAAAATAAATTTGGAATAAAATTTAAATTTGTGAAGAAGACAGAGAAAAAACGGCAAGTTCTCTTTGGACTTAGTTTTTTCATACTATATACGACAACATTTGCATTGGATCCGAGGACGTGCAATATGTGTTCGTCACTCTACAACGCCTACAGAAACATCATCTAAAAAAAACATCACGAAATGTGTATTCGCGCAAGAAGAAGTAATTTTCCTCAGTCATCACATTAATCACAAAGCAATCCGTCCACCAGACACAGAAATTAAGACGATTACAAATTTTCCAAAACTAAGCGTGGTACATAAGCTATGTCGATTCATTGCAATCATAAATGTTTATCGCCGAAATTCAGGGACGACTCCAAACCTAATAAAACGCAACAAGAAATGGGATAAAGCAGTTATCAAATGACCGTGGATGCTGACAACGCATTTTCGGAATACTAAGCAGCCTTAATTACTGCAATAACAATCTTACATCCAATTCCAGATGCAAATCTCGTGCTCCACGTTGATGCTAGTAACTCAGCAGTTGGTGATGCACTGAATCAAATCAACAATGGACAAATCGAGCGCTTATGATTTTACTCCAAGCGGTTGACAAACACCCAAGTCAAATATAGCACGTACGACTGAGAATTGTGCGCAATTTATGAAGCAGTCAAATATTTTAAATACGCAATAGACGGCAGACGTTGTAGGTATATTCACATTTGGATTGGAATAGTGTTGTGTCCTCAAATGTATACAACATATTTTTAATTTAATACATACATAATTGGACACATAGTGCCAGACAAACCACCATCATACAGAAAGCACTCTGCTATGGCACAACATGACTAAAGACATTGCTGAGCAATTTAAATCATGTCTTCCGTATCAACGAGCGAAAGTCACACAACACAACAGATCAGCACTTTCAAACTTTGCAATACCAAGCAGGCGGTTTGCCGTAATTCACATTGACCTCATTGTGACTCTACCAACGTCAAACGGTTACCAATATTGTCTAACATATATCGATCGGTTTGCCAGATGACCAGCTATAATCTCCATGGAGAACATACTTGCTAACAAGGTGGCCACTGCACTTATCAATAGTTGGATCACTCACCTTGGCGTCCTGAGACAGATCGTAACAGATCAAGGAAGGCAGTTCAAATCAACACTATTCAACGATCTAGCGAAACACAAGGATGCCAACCATATTCGAACTAGTCCACGGCACCAACTCTAAAAACTTTGATCATATTAGCACTTTGGAATACTTTCAAAGAAGACCTCAAAGCAACCCCAACAGAGATGGTATACGGGACAACTATACGGCTCCCAAACGATTTCTTGAAGCACAATAAGAGTGACAAAACCGATCACAAATTTGTAGAGAACATGAAGCAGATGATGTCTGAAATACGACCGGTCCCCACTTCAAACCACTCAAACAAAAAGGTATTCGTACAGAAGAAGCTGCAACACGCTGCACAGGATGATACTGTCTGCCCACTATTGAAAACATCTGCTTAAGTGTGCTTTTAAACTTCTAAATTCTGACTATGAATCATTTTCTTTGTAGTAAATATATAGCTCACTTGGAGCTGTAAGGATTTCATTCTCTTTTAATATATTTGAATTGCACAATTCACAATTAATTTTATGCAATATCTTGTGAGCAACGTAATATCTAATAAAAAGTATCTAATTGACAACCATTCGACATTAATAATTTTATACAAAGGCAAGTGTTTAAGTATTACATTAAAATCATCAAATACGGGTTCTTATATCGAACACAAGGACAAATTTAAGCGAACATCAAATGTTCAAAATTTTGTTTTATTTCGGCAACTGAAGGATTTCTATTATTTCCACCCTTTTTCTTAACTAATTGGAAAAAGTTTTCTATTCGATCCTGATTTAGGGTTTTAGTTCTTAGAAAAAATGTATCTCTTTGCAAAACTTCATTGGACAAGGTTATTACAGCATTTATTGTTGTTATCATACCATCAATAAAATGAACTTTTTTATGTGGAAAAGAAGTGTTTTTCAAATAATCTACGAATGCCTTCAAATAATCATAAGGCGTATTACCAATCAGTATAACTGATGGATAATAATTATCCCCATAAAGTGTTTCACTATTCATGCAATCAAAATTTTTGTCCATATTAGGAATAAAATTGGTGGTGGATATAAAAACTTAGTTTGAAACTTTTTTGAATCTTACGTTTTCAGCAAAAGCTCTAATTGCGGCTTGTACAATATGATTAAAAACTTATGTTGCAGTTTTGATCCTCATCTTTTCAAACCAGGACGGATACACATGGTGTCTTGTAAGCGTCCGACACATTTTTGTCATATGTTTCTTTCATCATACTCGTATATGTATCACTTTAAAACTAACAGTTCCGTCTAGCGTTTCCAAATCGTTTTCCATTACTCTATTTCTTAAGGATTTTATCAAATGAGGGAAATCAAACATAAAATAGATTTTTCCATCATTGTGAACAATAAAAGGTTGATCTAGTACTATATTTGCCAGAGTTTCTCCGTTTAATCCATTTTCAGATACAATAAATAAAAACTAATCTCCAATTAGAGAAAATCCTTTTTATTACGAAAACACAAACTTCTTTTGCTAATTTAGGAGATCTGAAGTATCCGTTATTTTTAACGCCATCAATTAGATCTAAATTTTTTGTTCTACAATCTAGACTTGTTGTTTCGTTCTGTTTTATTTTGCTTTGTTTAAAAATTGATTTAAAAATGCATGATTTTATTTTGCAGTATGTTTGTTGCTTATTTGCTGGGGCGTGTTCAAAATAATACCGATTAGTTTACCTTCTGCTCAAAAAATAGTCGGATTTTGTGAACAAAACACACAAATTTAAATTTTATTCCAAATTTATTTTATCTCCTTCAAAATCTCCTTCTGAAGCGATACACATATGCCAACGCTTAATCCAATCTTCCCAATCTTTCACTTTTCGTAGGCCCGTGACGGTATGGCTTTTGGTTCCTTCAGCGAATTCTCTTTTCAATTGAATTCAATCGAGTCAAAACGCTTACCACGAAGGGGCAATTTGAGTTTCGGGACAGGAAAAAGTCGCACGGATCCAGATCTGGCGTATATGGTGCCTGAGCACTGACAGTGGTGCCGTGTTTGATCAAAAAATCGCGTACAACAAAAATTTTCCATAGTAAAAATCGCTAAATGCACTTGAGGTAGTCTCACATTAACAGCTGATGTAAACAAACTAATTGACAGATTGCGCTAAAATTTGTACCATATGTCAAGAAAAGGGGTACCAACATAACAAAAAAAATGGACCTTTTGAAAAAGGTCTATTACTTAAGGAGTAGTTAACAAAATCCAGGTCCTTTTGAGCAGAAAAAATAAAATATATAATTGATATGTAAATGGGTTTATGTATCAAATATTTAATATCACTGTAATTTGTTGCATTTGAATAGTTTGAATTTAATGTCATCTGTTTACTATTGAAATTTAAACAAAGAAAAGCTCTATAATTAGAACTTCTTGTCACATAAAAACTCTTCTTGTGCTTTAAGTAACTTGTGCCAATGTAAACGACAACATCTTAAAGTTGCACATGTAACTTACTTGAGTAAACAGTGAAAACAAGGTCCTTAAATATTTGCATAGGCTGTATATCAGGAAAACTAATATTTAGAAAAGTATGCACAATTCTTTATCTATATCAAATCTATTGGTATTAATGTAACTTTTTAATAAAACTCGTTAACCTTGGAATATATCTTTGCTATTTGTATTCATTTTTTACTGAATTCTCATATATACAAAACTAGATCACTTGATTGCTTACTACATTTTTTTAGAACTTATATCTGAAGAATATTTGAATATTATATTTTTCGCAGAATGAAATACAATTTTTGACGTTCATTTTATTTCCAAATTTATTTTAGGTTTTAGGGACCGAAGGTTTTAGAACAAAAAAAATAGTTAAATAAATATCGTTTTCAACCCCTGACCAAAACCCATGGCCATAATCGAAATATTTTAAAATTATTAATTTGGCATTAGATATTACAAATTATATTAAGCATATCATAACTATTTACTTTATATTAGGAAATTCATAACATCAGTTGTAATATTAATAAAAAAATAAAGTGTTGTAGAATGTTCTAAAATATGTCAATAAATTTTGTTTCTGCGACATTCATTACTTTGATGTAGGACTTTTTATAAAATGCGGTCCCTTCTTCAGCCCACGTAAACCAAACCGCTAAGTATCTACCATAAATCCAAATGCAGTAACCCCACGATGTATGTATTTTTGTGACAGTGTGTACATAAACGTGAACGTGCATGTGTGTTTTATTGAACACACTTGACACCCACGTGTCACATTGAGAACGCACAAAACCAGAAAATTTCTCTGAAGTTTACCTCAACATTTACCTAAACCTAAGTATATTCAAGTGAAGGGCTTACAAGTAGCGCCTATAGAAGAAACAATATGCTTGAATAAAAGGAAGTTTTAGATTTAAATTTGTCAGCTCTGGCAGAAGTTCCGCTTCAATGTGCACGCATATGTCTGCGTTTCACACCTTTGTTGCTGGGAGTCCTTTGGTTTAGTGCCATATTTGTAAATGGCTTCATTAACCCACGCGTTCCTATCAGTTTAACGCACTGGCAATTTTGTTGTCTGGGCTAAAGGCGATGAATAATTTCGTGATAAAGCTTTGTGCTGCCACAATGACAAATATGAGATAAACGCAAATACACATTCAGTGTGTATATCTCTATATCCGCCACTCAGTACGTATGAGCACAGACAAGAACGTCTGAACATCTGCAATTATGAAATGCTCCAATACCTTCTATGTCAATTTTGTTTCCGCAAACTTTTTAATGCGATTTAATTATTTAATTATTCGTTTAATTATTTAACATGAAACAAAAGGTGTAAATTTATTTGTTTCACCTTTTCGTTTATGCTATAAGCAAAGAACTTTAAAGTGAATAAGAAGCAGAGCTTACAAAAAATTATTAATTGACTACTAAATCATATTATTTTACTTAAAAAATTCATTGGAAATTTTGATTCTACAAAAAGAAATATTTTTCGTTTTTTAGAAAAATTTTATTTACTTAAATAATTGATTATATCAATTTAAATAACCTGAATAAAACACTACCAATATGTCGAGCTCTAATGTAAAATATATATACATAAATATATACATATATACGAAGAGTGAAATCTTACATTTTTTGTATTAATTCATCAAAACGTTCGAATGATGTATTACCAAAGAATCTATAGTACAAAGAAGTGCCACGCTCATACAAACGAAATACCCACTTTATTTTGCTGGTAGATTTATAATAAATCCACCTAACCTCATGCAACAATGTTCGATCGAGTCACAACTGGTATGATGTCCAGTTCAAACTCATTGCAACCCACAATTGTTTTTATACACCTGTTTCTTTTGGCTTTCTTGTTTTTATTTTTCTATTTTATTAATATACATTGATTAGTAGCGAAGTGAATGGTAAAGAAATCCCTGAAACAATTTTTCCATATATA